GCAGATGTCTTCACAATTTGTCACAAAAGAATATACTCTGGGATACCATTTCCAGGGAGCTTGAAATCAGGCCAAACCAATCTGAAATGATTGATGTCAAGTAGTCACTCGGGGTTGCCGCTGCCTGAGAGAGGGCACAGGAGGCCTCTGCGGTGCCACTGTCTACGCATTGTTCTGTGGCGATAAATATCCACGTGGAGCCACTGAGCTCACCTTCCTGTGTGTAAGCTCAGCCTGACTCTTCAAGTTGGCAACTGTGTAAAAATACACATGTAGGTGGACCGATGAAGTGGTTCAGTGTCAGCCTGTCCATGTCAAAGGCCAGGGTGCTAGGGGCCCCTGTCGTGCTTTCTGGTAGGGTATTGTCAGGGCATGAACCACGGCTGGCCACTGCCTTCTGAAATTGGCTGGCCACCAGATGATCTTATTGCTGCTTTTGACCAAGAGGATGAGGCAACCGTGTTTTCGTTTTTCAAGACAGGGCTTTTCTGTGTAGCCATAGAACTCTGGAACTTTATAAACCAGGCTGGCCTCGAACTCACAGAGATTCGCCTGCCTCTGCCTCCCTAGTGCTGATTATAGTGCGCCATCCCTGCCCTGCTGACGACCATGTTTTGGAAGGGTGCTGGCAGAGCATTATGTCTGGTGAGCCTCTTCTGTCCTGTGCTTCTCTCCCAGGGCCGCAGTCCTGGCCCGAGCCTTCTGATTCCCTTCCTCGTGGCCCTCTTGCCCCTACCTTGGCTTAGAAACTGGGCTGCCTGCCACCTGGGCTGCTCATATCTCTGGCCACACAAGTACCTTGGGTTCTCCAAGATGACCAACTCCTCACCCTCCTCTGCCTCCCAAAGCAAAGCCCTGGCTTCTGAGATGAGCGTCCTGAAGGAGGTAGGGCCCGCCCTGAGGATACACCACCTGCGCTGACCTGGAATCACCACATGAGGGCCCACAGCCTCTGTGGGATGGTTAAGGTGAGCCTGGGGTCAGGAACGTGAACCCCTAGAGACAGAACTGGGAGGAGCCTCAGGGCCTAGGAGCCTGTCCGTAGGGTGGACACCATAGCCGACACTCCCGGTGCCCACCACTCAGCTGGTTCTGCAGCAGCACCTCCTAGCTGGCCTCCCGTGGCTCCCTGTCTCAAAGTGAAAAGTTTAACCTAACCCCAGGGTGTGGCTGGGGGGAGGGTGGACTTACGGACAGCTGGAAGCTGTGCGTTCCACTTCCCTTGACCTTTTGGGCAGGTGCTGGAGTTGTGACTCTGCTTATAGGTGAGAACTGGACACCAAGCAGAGGGTCACCTGCCCGGAGAGGGGCAGGTTCTAGCAGCGCTGCTGCTCAGCTGTAGCAACCTGCCATTCACCCTGCTCCTCCCGGGCCATCACGAGAACAGAGCTGGGCTTTCTCCCCTAGGCCCCTCTCCTAACTCCTAGGACACACGTGGATTTATTCCACACTCAGGCATCCAGCCTCAGCAGCACCCAGGGGTTTGAGTCCGGGAGTCTCATTGCCTAGAATAGCTCAGGCCCTAAGAGCCTTGGCTCCTCTTGCCAGCTGTCCCCTCTTCCTAACCTTGTTACCTGCACTGATGCGCTCTGGACTCTACTTACCTTCGGTCACTCTTGCTGCTCCAGGGGGCTCCGCCTGCATGCTCCTAGGCTCCGCTCTGCTCCAGCGAGCAGGAGGCCATGGCTGTGGTGGAATGCCTTGGGTCGTCGGTAGCAGGCCACCTGAGTGTGATGCCTGGCTCTGTGCTTCTCTGAAGGGATCAGGGGAGTTTGCCACAGCGATCATCCTGATCATCCTCGGGCGAGGGGTGACAGACCCACCACATCCTGTGGTCCCCAGGAGTCCCCCCACTGTGAGCAGCTCCCGCTGCTCAGCTCTTCCTGTGCAGGGCTCCACCTCAACCTTCCTTCCTGTCTAGTTTGAAAAGCCAGCAGCCTCACTGACAAATCGGCAAGCGGCTCGGCCCCAGGCTCACCTCTTTGGTTTTGTCACCTCCCCCAGAAGTCTGAAGAGTGGGGAAATGATGTCGGGTCTCCACTTCAGGACTGAGCATCCCTACAGTGCGTGCTCAGGAGTGGGCACAGTACCAAGACAGTTGGCATGTCACCCTGCACCCACCGAAACAGACTTAGCTGTTAGGGGGCGGCATGGAGGAAGTCAGCTGTCTTTCACTGCTGAGAGACAGCTAGTGGGGCTGGGGCGCGTACACTTGCAGGCTGGTCCCCCATGACCTCCTTCTACCAGACCACTTCCTTCTCACCCCAAAGCTCTCTATCTACGTATCCCTGTGGGTCAGTGGACCCCAAAGACAGGTCATCTGGATCCTGAAACAGCTGAATGCAGCTGTTCACAGCAGGAAGGTCACTTTATCCCTCAAGGTGTTCTGCTCTGACGGAAAAGGTAGGTAAGGACATGACTCAGTAAACAATGCAGAAAAGGTGCAGTAAATGAGCTGTTTCGAACATCGTCTAGTGACAGGGAGCAAGCCATTTAATGCAAAGCCACCGGGTGAGCTAGGTGGCGTGTAGCCAAGTGACAGGGGCCTCGGGCCCTTCAACCAGCACTGGGAGTGACCGTCTGAGTTCCGCTGTTCACAGCAGCCTGTGCGTGGGGATGTGTGAGGCACTATTGAGAGGGGAGGGGCTTTGGTGGTAGGTTAGAAGTGCTGTTTCAAGCCAGGGGTGGTGGCCACGCCTGTAATCCCAGCATTCTTCGAGGCAGAGGCAGGTGGATCTCTGTGAGTTCAAGGCCAGCCTGGTCTACAAATAGAGTCCAGGACAGCCAGGGCTACACAGAGAAACCCTGTCTCAAACAAACAAACAAACAAACAAACAAACGGAATGCTGTTTCAGGATATCTGCCCATCTCCTTCCCTACTGAGCACAGAGGAACATCCAGGAGCTGGAGGACACAGTGGTGGCCCCTTGAGACAGAGCATAGAGATAGACGGTGGCTGTAGCCCTGGCCAAGGGGTGCAGCAAAGATCCCTGAAACCAGGCACCTACCGATGCCTGAAACCACATGGGCCTTGTGGCCTCAAGAGGCTCAGCCTGCATCCTCTAGGGATCTGGCAGGGAGGAACCTCCTCCTCCCTGACAGCTGTTGGCAGCATCTCAGTAATGGCCACCAGCCTGTACATGGGCTATCCTGGTGTGTGCGCACGAGAGCACACACATTTCTTCAGGATTCTCTTCACGGAGAATATCTGTTCCCCAAGAGCAAGACAGCAGGGAGGCAGTGGGCTCCGTTCTCCCGAACTTGGGGAGTGTGGGGCTTCCTGCCTGCAGCGTGGGGGCCTTTCCCTATGGGACCTTTATCCGACCTAGTGCGCATCTCTCCAGGCTGGGCTGTGGTCCAACACAGACTGCTCTAAGTAGACAAGCCTGGGCCACGGCAAGTGCTGGACCACAGGAAGAGGAGGCTGGAGGTCTGGTCGCGTCACTGAGTCATGTGTAGCTTACAGTGCTCAGTGAGCACTCTGTTGTGGGGCTAAGTGCTTTCTTCTTGTGCTAATCTGCAAAGGCAGGGTGGCCTCTAGCGGGGAGCTCCTCCTCACTTCATCTGACAAGCGGCCCCTGTGCCGTGGCTTCAGCCTTTACCAAAGGTGCAAGGCAGCCAGTCACCTTTCCTCTTCCAGTGGCTGGGCCAGCGCTGTGATGCTGGAGCCAGTGTTTTCCCAGGTTCCTGTTTGGCTGCCACTGGCTCTGATGGCTCCATCTTCAGCGCAGGGGTTCATGTTAACCTCCTTCCTCCAGAAGCAGCAACTCCTCACTGGTTGTTTTAACACACGTGGATGGTGCTGAATACGTAGGTTTAGGGGTCAGGGACTCTGTCGTCTGACTACCCGAGGCACACCTGTGCTTCAGCCTACCGCTCAGCCTGGCTGCTTGCCGGAAAGAAGCCAAGTGGATCTAGCCTCCGGGTTAGAGTGAGGCTGGCTCAGCCACTGGCTCGTCTCCGAGCAAAGGCTCTTAGCTCATTTTTTAAACTCTTCCCCCAATATGGACAACCTGGGGTCTCCACTTCTTGTGGCTCATGGACATTTTCTGAGGACAGTAGGGGTTCCCAGCTTCTCCTTAGGGAGGAACACACAAAACGGATTCCAAACTGTCTTGACAACTCCATCTCACTTCCCCCAAACAGTCCATCCTAAGGGGAAGTCATCCCATCAAACCCTTTATAGGAGAAATAAAACACCTTTTAGAATAGGCCAAAGGCTGGGCGTGGTGGTGCACACCTTTAATCCCAGCATCTGGGTGACTGAGGCTCTGTTAGCTGGACAGCAGCCTAGCCTGCATATGAATTCCAGGGCAGGCAGAGCTACAGTGAGATAACTGTCTCCATAGATGACAGAGAGATATAGAAGCCACTAAACATGGCTTCTAATTGCCTGTCCGTCAGGAGCCGTGACCAGGACACATTCCACAAACAAAGCTTCATTTTCACCTCCCTAAACACTGCTGGCCTCTGAGATCAGCACACAAACCTTTTGCAGGAATCTGTCCTTGATGTTACCCTAAGGGCCCAAGGATGCATTTCTCTTGTAGTGCTGGGAACTGAACCAGATCCTTAGGTATGTTAAGCAAGTCTCTTACCACTGAGCCACACTCCAGCTGGCTGATTTATCCCTATGGTCTGCATAGTTCTAGGTCAGCATTGTACGCCCAGAGCTGCAAGCTGACTCAGTAGGTCCAGCAGGACCAGCCCAGCACTTGCGACACTCCAGGTGTAGACTGTGTCCCTGGTCTGCTTCCCTGAGCAGCAGCAGCAGCTGGAGCTAGTGCCTGTTGAGGGCACCGTTAGTGTGAACAGAGACAGGGAGTGTGCAAGCAAGAACAGAGTATCTCTGCCTGTTATGGAGGAACCATAGGCAAGGGGACAGTAAGCAAAGGCACTGGTGAGCAGCAGGGAAGTGGGGCCCAGGCTCACTGTCTGTTCCTTATAATTTTCCCAGAGAGGAGCATCTAGGTTTAGTTCGTTAGTTTTAAATAAAGCCTTTGTTTTTATTGCACATCATATAAAACAACCACTGTATTCAAAACACACAAGGACGTTCACAGGCTGTGGAAACCCAAACTTCTGGGGGTTTGTTTGTTTGTTTGTGTTTTTGTTTTTCCTGGCCCTCCCCAGGGTCCACACATGGGAGGAGCCCACAAGCAACATGCTTACTTTGGGGATCCTCAGTTGTGCTAGGCCCTACTCACAGTCCTGCTTGGAGGATGCTGGTGACAGTGACAGGTGTCTGGGTAGGCACCAGGTCAGAAGAGCACCTATGACACGGTGGTGCAGGCTGCCCAGGGGAGTCTGCTCTGCTATGGGGCTGGTTGCTCTGAATGCTGAAGGCAGGCAGGGCCCAATGCCTACCCCAGAATACACTAACAGGGCAGCTTGGGTGTGGCGGACACAGAATGGCAAGTGAGGCAGGCTCATCTTGCCCTGGTCGGCTGGTGTGGCCCACCGCCTCTCAGAAACATGTAGGAGGGGGCCCTGCTTGGGCCAAAGGGACAAACCCGGCACTGACTGCGGGAGGGCGGGCCTGCTCTAAGTCCAAGGACAACACAGGGCTGGGAGAGAGTGGGAGACAAAGTGTGCTGGGTTGTTGACCTTTACACAGACACAGGCTCGTGTCCAATAATGCACCTGTGGAGGCCTGGCCTGCTCTAGCTGCCCAGGCCCTCTGGCAGGACGCTACTGGGTAGTGACCTGTCATGGCTGAACCTTTTTCTTCCTGCCCGAGGGCTGCCGTCCCTTCTGTCTCAGCTTCTCCTTCCGGGCCGCGGCAGTGGTGAAGGTGATGCACTGGGCATCTAGGATGTCCAGCAGCTTGCCCATGGCCACAGGGATGCCGTCCTGCTTCAGCTCAGCCTGTAGCTCGGCCAGCTCCAGAGGCTGGTACGTCAGCACCTTCCTGTGCAGGGCAGGCTTGGAGCAGATGTAGCGTCTCACTGCCTCCTCCGTGTCTGCGGCCTGGAGGGCTGCCTGTGATGCGCTGACCCCCTCTTCATCCTTGTCGTCGCCTACAGCCTCTAAGGCAGCTCCAAACTCACCGGAGGAACTGAAAAGGACAGATGCTGTTCTGTGACACTCTATCTACAGCCCCCCAGACCAGAAGCCCCTTTGGGGGAATGAGTGTTTTCACTGTTCTGTGGGGCTGGCATGTGACAGGGCTCCTGACGGCATCCTACTGTCTCCATGGTTCCTGGTTCCCTCCCTGGCTGGGCCAGCACCGGTGGCATCTGAGCCCCTGATCTCCATGGCCAGCAAGAAGACACAAGCACATAAGGAAACCACAGGGTTTCCAAGGCCTGTGGAGACTCAGGGAGCGAACCTTTAAACCATGTGGGCTTCCGACAGAAACCCAGAGAGCAAGGGGCTGCCCTCTTTCTGACCCACCTCTCAGAGGACACACGGCATGACCGACCCTGCTGCTTCCATTACCTTTCAGAGCTAAAGGAGTTGTCACTGCCATCCACAGAGGTAGCCACGGATTCCTGGGAGGCTGGGAGCTGGGTGTCCCCATCAGGGCCTGCAGACAGCTCTCCAGCTGGCCACCTGCTCGAGTGGGAAATGCTTTCACTGAGCTGTTTCTTTTGAGGTTGATGACTCTTGCTCTTAGTGGGGCCCTTGGGTCTCTGAGTCCCAAGACCTGCAGTGGCCTTAAGCCGGGTGTAGCCTCCTGACCTTGAAGGCTTGCAGGTCTCAGTGGTAGGTGGCTGGCTGCAAGGTGCCTCCAGGGGTATCTGGGAGGACTGAATCTCATCCTCTGAGTCTGACTCCAGAGTCTGGTGAGTGTACTGGAAAATCTCCTTCAGCTTCAGAACCATCTGGCGTTTGGGCAGAGCGCGGACTCCAAACCTGCATGTGGAAAGAGGTGAACTTCAGGGTCTGACAGCGCAGCATATCCCCACACACTGCTGCTTCAGAGGGATGCATGACCTCACTGCACACAAAGCTCCGAAGCCAGCTTCCATGAGCATGCAAAGCTGACCATCTGGCCACATGCCAACGAAGCTTGCTCTAAAGGCCATCCATGCCAGAGATGCTCCCACAGTGTTCTGAGCGACAGCAATGGCATCACCAACTTCCTAAGCTGAAGAGCAGCGCTGGTTGGGATGCGACAGTTTTCACATTATTTAAAAAGTGAAGTCTCCTTCCTTGGAAGGCGTGGCTAGGGTCCCGTTTCTACTGGCATGGAAATGAGACCTATTTCCTGGGAGTAACCCACAGGAATCTCAGTTGTTAGTTTTCTGGAGCTCACATCTGCTCAGAGTTAAGGATAGCCCAGCTGTCCACCCAACTCACACAGCCACACTGGCTCTGCAGAACAGACGGCAGAACTCCCAGCCCCCTCCGGGCCTGAGCCAGCTCCATCTTCAGACCTGGAGGCTGAGGTGCAGGCTCTTGCTACTTTCTGGGCCTAGTTATTGCCAGGAGACCACCTGAGAGGAAGCCTGGGGGAACACGACCAACCTGTCCAGTTCTTTCTTCAGCACTGGGGTCTCCATGATCGAATACCTCGGCATTGGTGTTATGGGCACTTTGGGGGGCAAGTTCCTTTTCTGGCTAGCACCTTCTGGACAAAACACAAGAAGCACATGACCCAGAGTGAGAGGCATGGATCTGCTACCACTTCTTGCCCTGGGAGTACCCCCATGGGAAATGACAGACCCCAACAGACACTGTGCCCAAGGAGAGGCGCCTTCAGCACCTGGAGCTGCACATTCCCACTGGACGGCAGCACACAGCAGCTGTGAAGAACACAGCACTAATGTCTGCTGAACAGGCTCCTGGCTCTTAGCAAAACAGCCCTGCACCTGATCTAGTCCAGCATTCAAGACCCCCTACTTCTTATCCTGATATCCTGGTGCAGTGACAGCACCAGCTGGCAGCACTGACCATTTTCAAGCTGGCTCAGACATCAGCACTTCCTAGTTCAACCGAGAGAAGACAATGCAGGCTGCCTACCCTCAAGCCTCAGAGCTTCAGTTCGCCCTTGGGACCCACATAGTGAAAGGAGAGGACCAACACCTGCAGCTGTCTCCTGACCGCTGCGTGTACACACACAATAAACAGATACAATTATAAATAAACAAAGAATCAGGGCAAGCCTTTCTCCAAAGAAGATACACGAATGGCCACTAGGTCATAAAAAGGCACTCAGCGTCATGAACCATCAGATATCACAAATCCAGTGCAGTAACGCTTGACAGCCACCGGGATGAGGACATGAAATGTGTGGCAGGAATGGGGAGAACTGCAACCTTCGGCTCACGCATTTCCTGGTGGGGTGTAAGATGAAGCAGTACATTTGGGGGTAGGAGTGTGGAGGTGCCTCAAAATGCTAGCCACATATGACCCAGCAATCCTGGACCTAACTATCCCAGAAATGAAACTTAGGCCCACACAAAACAGGATTAGTTAGAGCAACCCAAATCCCACTAATGGATGAATGGAAACAGTATTCAGATATAATGAAGAAAGAAACACAGATGAACTTTGAAAATCTGTGCTAAGTAAAGAAGCCAGTTACGAAAGATCATACATTCTAGGATTCCTCTTAAGATGCTTTGGAGGACAGGGTGGCAGTGTGGCACTCGCCTTCATCCCAGTACTTATGAGGCAGAGGCAGTAGATCTCTGAGTTTGAGACCAGCCTGGTCTACAGAGTTCTAGGACAGCCAGGGCTACACAGAGAAACCCTGTCTGGAAAAAGAAAAATGATTCCTGGAGATGCCAGGAGTAATGGTGCAGAGCTGAGTGGAGGGAAAAGGATCGCCTCAACTTCCAGGACAGTGCGAACCAGACAACAACACAACTCTACCTGCTTACAACCACAAGCTAGGGCTAGAAACTCACACTTGTCATTCCAGTGCTTTGGAGGATGAGGCAGGGGGATTACTACAAGTTCAAGGCCAGCCTGAACAAAGACAGAGACCTTACCTCAAAATAACAACAACCAAAAGACAAAACTCCCAAAACCAAAGACGGATGGGAAAATGAGGCCAGCCGGTTCTTTTCCCTTCTGTGACAAGTTGGAGCTCAGCTCTTGTCATTTCAGTCCTTGAAGCCTCAGACTCAGATCAAAGTACCTGAGTCTCAAGTCTCCTGTAGAGGTTCTCTGAGCACTGCCTGGGAAGTGGTAAGAAATGCAAATTCTGCATCGCAGGCACCTCCGTGAGCAGAAGCAGTGGGGCGGTGTGCTCTCAAGTGTGCCAACAGCCCAGTACCCTTGGGGACTTAGGAAGGAAGCAGCAGCCAGCCAGCTTACCCTGGCCCTCAGCGTGGCTTTGCGCTTCCCGCCGTCCCCTCCCTGCCAGGAGGCAGTGGCTTTCGAGCTTTTCCGAGTGACTGAAATGCTCGGGAAGTGCTGCCCTTCCATCAGCAGGCAGGCCAGGGCCACGCTCCTGCACTCGCCTCGGTGTGATCACTGTGTGTTTGTGCTAAGGGGCGGCCCACGGTGCATGCTAAGCCCTCTCTGTGCTGCTCTACGTTGTACTGCACACAGGCCCATTTTCTTTTAAACACGAGATTGATATAAAAAAGCTGAACGTGAGCAAGCACCACTTAGTAGTTACATTATTGGGCAACGGCCAGCTCTAGCGGCTCTCAAGCCAAAGGAAGCCTTGTATGCACTGGAAAGCTGCCTCCCTCCACCCCAGGAAACCTTCAGTCTGTGTGGTAGCACTCTTTTTCTCTAGGTTCACAGAAAAATTAGTGATGATCTGCGACTAGTCTCTATCACCATCACCAGCACCTCACTACTTATGACAAGCAACACTCCACCTTGTTGGGGTTCTCTCACCTCCTGGCTACTGTGATTAGTTACTCTGAATGACTCTCTGTCTGAATCCCGGGTCTCAACTCTTCTGGACAGATAGTAGAGAACAGAATTTCTGGGTTCTATGACGTTCCTCTTGCTGTGTAAGGATGCATGAAGGGTCAAAGCACAGCACTGGATGCTCCTCACACTGTCCTGAGGACAATACGTCTTCTGAGACATCTCTCCCTGGAACGCAGGGCACGCCTGACGATCCTCCTGCGCTGGCTGCCCAACAAGCCCCATGAATGCTCCTGTCTTCATCTCCCCACTGCTGGGCCACAGCTGTGTGGCCATGCCTGGCTTTTAATATGGGCTCTGAAGATTGAACTCAATCCCTCGTGTCTGTGCTTTATGGATTGAACTATCTCCCTGAATGTCGTTTCTTTATTCCTTTCTTTTGGATAAGTTTGGTCATGTAGTGTAGTTCATGTCAGCTCTAATTCTTAATATTCCTGCTTCAATGTCCTGTGCTGGGATTACAGATGGGCACCACCCAGATTGCTTGGGGAAATTCTGCACTTGTTTTTGGATTTGAGACAGGGTTTCTCTGTAGCCCTGGCTGTCCTGGAACTCACTCTGTAGACCAGGCTGGCCTCAAACTCAGAGATCTCCCTGCCTCTGCCTCTTGAGTGCTGGGATTAAAGGTGTGTGCTACTATACTCAGTTTTTTTTTTTTTTAAAGAGAGTATGAAACTTGTATATTGCTGATGATGACCTTAAACTTCTGATCCTCCTGCCTCCATCTCCCAAGTGCCAGAATTATAGGCATATGTCACCACACTCAGGCTTATATATTTAACACGTGGTGCAGGGATTTAAGGGCCTCACGCATGCTAGGTAAGTACTCTACCACTGAGCTGTATCATCAGTCCACATACTTAGCTTTTTTAAGGAACCACACTTTGCCCATCTTAAAGTTGGGATGCTTGCTGACAGCTCTAACCTCTGGGTACTGGGTCAGTGTTCTGGAGGTGAGTTCACTGAATGGGACTTTGAATAAGTGCATTAGCTGAAATACAGGCAGCCAGCAAATGCTGACTCACTGCTCATATACTTACTAGTATACTCTCAGGAGCCAGCCACTTCTCCCTCTACAGGGGAGTCTGGGGACCAAAAGGAGGGGTCTTTGGTTTTTGGGGTTTTTTTTTTTTTTTTTTGTTGGTGGTGGTTTTTGGTTTTGTGTAGCCTTGGCTGTCCTGGACTCACTTTGTTGACCAGGCTGGCCTTGAACTCACAGAGATCAGCCTGCCTCTGCCTCCTGAGTGCTGGGATCATAGGCGTGGCCACCAGCCCTGCTGACAAAAGGAGGGGTCTTGCCCAGATGAGCAAGTCCTTCAGCACTGCTGGCCCAGCTCTCCAGCCCAGACCTCCACATCCCGTTAGTGTGAACAGTACAGGTCAAGACCCATCTCGGGCCTCACAGCCACTCACTTGGTGTCTCTGGCCTGTCTGGCTTCCAGGCTCTGGTGCTCAGCACTTGAGCCTGAGTCTCTGGAGAGTGCCGCTCTTCCTCCTCCCAGTCGTCCCACAGAGCCGAGCTAAGGACACTCAGTTTGCTGCTCCCGGGAGAAGCAGCCTGTGAGGACTGCTCCTGAGGCTCTCTCAGAGCACCGTAACTTCCGCGGATAGGGGTGGTGCCCAGGAGTCCTGGGGAGTGTGGGTCTCTGCTGCGCAGAGTCTCCTGGCCCTGGCTTGCGCTGGGACTGCTTGTGGTCAGGGGGCCGGTCCGCTCCAGATTCAAGTGGTCAATTGGAATTGGGGAGAGGGGCTCATGCCAGCAACAGTCACCCATGGGACCTGGGGGGTCACCATCTAGCATGGGGCTGCTGTTTCCTTGATGGGAAGCCACCTCCTGCTCATCATCACTGTCCCCAACTTCTACAACTTCGTCAGCTGCAGCTTGATTTGGCAGGCATGGCCTAGGTGATGAGGGTTTCTGGGACCACCCAGTAAAATCAGGAACAGGACACAATGGCTGTGAAGAAGAGAGCTTGCAGCGTTTAGGGTGGTGATGGGGAGGGCTTCTGCTGTCTGGGCATCCACTGTCAGAGTCTCCTTGAGTAACAGACTGTGTGTGCGGCATGATCACTGAGAACTTCTGGGCTGCTTCCGGCACAGTCCCGAGTTCTAAGGAAGGTCTGGGGGCCTGCTGAGCAGTCTTATTTGATGGAGTCCTGCTCTTAAGGCTTTTGATTTGGGTCTGTGATGAGCAATCTCGGCTCTTGCTGGACCCTGGGGTGGCAGGTACCAGCCAGGAGGTATCTGTAGTGCTGTCCTCTTCCAGGCTATTCTTCTGGCTGCAGAATAGCCAGGGGCTCTCTCTGTTCCCCAGAGCAGACTGATTTTCCAGGTGTACCTCATCTTCCTGCTGTGGCCCAGCCTCTGTCTTCAGTGGGCTTTGGGAATGTTCTTGGTCTTCGTCAACATCAATGACTGAGAACAGTTCAGAGGACATGGGGCTGACCTCCAGAACTCCCCTTCTTCCAGGGGGATTTTTAGAAACAAGCTTTGTCTTGGTGTGCTCTAGCTCCAGCTCTTCATCTGAGTCCAGTAAAAGGATGACCTCGTCCTCTTTCTTCACATGACACAGAGGCTCCTGGGCCCCGGGACTCAAGCGCTCAGGAACTGACTGGGTCAGGTCAATGGGAGGAGATTTTGCTGGGGAAATCAGGGTGCCCCTATTTTTATGTCCAAACATGGGACTACTCTGTTTGCCTTTCTGGTGGTGCCTTTCTGGTTTTTTCAGTAGTGTGAGAATGTTACTGTCTCTCCTCTGCTTAGCTGGTGAAACTGGAAACAGTGAGCTTGGGGAGGCCACCTTAGAAATGCTACTGCTTGACTGGGACACTGCTGGGGACAAACTAGTCTTGTGACTTAGGTGAAGCCATGACTGGCTGGGACTTCCACCCACAGGAGACTGTGACAGGGGGCGGCAGGCCCGTGGAGGTGTCTGCTGCAGAGTTGGTGGATGGGCCATCTCTGCCTGCCTCTCCCTAACAGGGCCGCTCTGCTCTTCATGGTCACTTGTTGTTTGTGACAGTCCAGAAGATTCTCTTTGAGGTGATACAAAGAGCTGTTTGTAGTCATGGGCCTTAGCTGAGTGCAAAGGTAAATATCCTTTGCTCCTCACCTGGTGGCTCTCAGGAAGGAAGCTGCAGGAGCTGGGGAGGTCCGCTGGCCCCCGCAGCGCGTCCTGGGTCTCTGCTTTCCCTGCCCAGTCTGAGCACTGGCCCTGGAGTGGAATGGAATCTCTTTCATGCTCCCAACTAGCTAGTGCCTCTTCTTTTTCTAGGCCAGACAACTCCATTTGTTCTGTATTTTCTAACTGTCTGTTACTCTGGACACCTGCCAGTGTATGCGCAGAAACTGGACTGTCCTCCCCGAGCTGGTTAGTGTCCTCCTCTGTATCTGCTGCTCGTTCCCCCTGGAGTAGCTTCCTCTGGGTAGCTGCAAACTCATAAATTTCTTCCATTTCTGTTTCATTCACTTTTTCTCTATCTTCTTCACAGACCTCTGGTTTCAACAAAGTCTCTGCTTCCTCCTCTTCATCTACCCACACTGACTTTAAGAGTTCTTGAAAATTCTCTGCTCTGCTTTTGCAATTCTCATTTTCCTTCTCCTCCTGTTGCTCCCCCTCTAAGTCCGCCATGACAGGCACTTGTTCACACAGCTGAACAAGGTCGCTCACACCAAACCTGCAATGGGAGATACTGCATTATCACTGCTCCACACAGAGCACCTGCTGGCACCTGGGACTGGTGGCCAGGGCAGATCTCACAAAGAGGAACAAGGACATTCCTCTTTTGTCCAGGAACACACTTGGTCATAGCTCTAGATATCACTTTAACTTCGCTGCTCACAAAGTCAAGGTGTGTCAGATTGAGCTGGCAATCACCAGAGCTGGTAGGACCACAAAACCAGGCAGCACACACTGCCCTGAGAGTCGCTCAAGACACTGCGCCTAAGAAAAGCCACAGTAGACAAAACTGTTGTTGGACAGGTTGATAAGAAGGCTCTGAGAGCCCGTCAGTACCTCTCCGACCCCCACTCCTGAGCTGTTCTTTTTCCAAAAAGGCACCAAGATTTACACAGCCTGGGATGACTGAGCACCCCAGAGGTGTCCAAGCTGTGGGAAGAGGAGAATGCCTGGCTGGTGCTACAGAACTATAGGGGACAATCAAGAGGCGGTATGCAGGGTCTATGTGTGAGGCTCTGGGCTGTGTTACCATCTCACTAAGCCAAGTACAATTCTTCCCACGCAGCTCTTAGCACCCCTGCAAGCATACATTCTAGCCAACTATATCATGCATGGTTCAGGGCTGCTGCTGGTCATAAGCTTCAGATTAGAAGATACAATGAATATGACGGGCTCAGCCCTAACATTTGGGCAGCACAGCCTTCCTTGGATGTCATTCTCCTGATCCATGTCACCAACTAAAGACTATGGAGGTATGGAAAGCACAATCCCACCTTAGGGCCAGGGAACGAAGATGAGGAGCCAGGCTGGGAGGCATGTCAGTATCTGCCGTGTATAGATAGTTCAGAAATGCATGGGCGACCTCAGAGCTCACATCACTCAGCAGGATGCGCTGCGTCAGATCTCCATCCTCTACGGCAGAGAAGCCTTCAGCGTTTACCTGGAAGCACAGAAGGCTCATTATAACCTAGAGTGACCAATCATCTGCCTAAGGCAGCCTGAGATCCTGGGGGTGGGAGGCAGCCTTGTGTGACAGAGGTATCAACTCAAGGTATGTCCGACTTGGGGCCTATGGGTCGCCTATAGAACAGGACAGAAATGAATATGGCCCAAATACATTTGCAGATGATAATATCATACTGTAGTACTAAAAGGCTGGACACTTCTGTGTCTAGAACGTTGTGTCAAAGACTGAGCAGTTTGCTGGGTTCCTCCGTAGCGGCTCAAGCCTATCGTATCAGCATGCAGGAGAAGTGAGGTGAGAAGACCACATCTTCCGAGAGGGAGGGAGGGAGGCAGGCAGGCAGACAGTGGTCATGAGATTTCACAATGATGCAAATACGAGTGGAGAAAGGAGGCAAGCTTACTTTCTAAGAAGAAAAGAGGTAGGGAGAGGAGGAGGCACCAGACCCGTGCACTTACATACTGAATAAGAAGTGGACATCGGGCATAGAGCACAAACTTGTGGGCATAGAGCACCTCTCCGCTGTCAATCTGGAACTGGACGTCACTCAGATGTGGGTTGTTGACCATGGCCCCAAAGTCAGCCACCAGCAACCCAACAGACCGCTGTAACGGGAGGGGAAAAAGAGATCTGTCAGCTCCCTCTCTCGCTTTGCTAAGTGCCCATGGGAGGGGTGTTAGGGCAGACCAAGAGCCAGGACCAAGCTCTCCTCTCCAGCATGTGCACACATGAGGTATTGAGGTTATGCCTCTGAGTTACAGTCATGACGTCATCAAGCCAGCATCGCAAATGCTGCTTTCTTTCTCTATCACAGTGTGTTCCCTAACCTACGGTGAAAGGGACAGTCGTAGCTAAAGGCATTCTCATAGCTAAGCACTGCATAACACACCAGTATACCTGGTTCTTAGGTAACCTGATGCAAAGGACCAGACCCTAAGCTGAGCTGTTCAAGAACCCAATGCTTCCCAGTTACATGCAGGAACATCACCAAGATGGCCCTTTGTACAGGATGGTCCTTAGGGAATGACACCCACTTTATGGAATATTCCCCACTTTATAGCCGTCTTCCAATGTTGTTCATGACCAGCATAGTATGCTGGATCAGTAGTGGGAGCCCACCCATCATCCAGTGGGTTGCAGTGAGTCCTTAGTAGATAAAGGAAATCACCAAGAAACAAGCACACAGAACAAATGCCTGAACAAAGCAGTCATTGGGCAGTGATGTCTGGGCTCCTCAACAAAGCTGGCACTGATGACTGGCTGTTCAGGAAACCTAAAGTGTCCAAGCACAGCAGTGACAGAAGATGTCGTGGCAGTGACCCAGGAGGGGAGACAGGATGTGCAGCTCTCGGGATTGTCAGGGCGTGCCATTTGGGAGACAGCACAGAGCCAGGGCAGAGCTGACGAGTCGACCTGCGGTGCGGAAGCCTTGATACTTACTGAGGCATCCCTCTTAAGGGCCGTCTTAGATGGCAGGACAAAGCCAGTCAGTGGAAGGCTGCTGGGGACCAAGTCCAACCCTGAGAGAAGGATTTATAGATCAGAGCCATGTCACCTCTCAAGTGCCAACCCTAGGCTTGGCTGAACATGTTATTTAAGGCCATCTTTACTAAAGCAGCCCTCCCCAATCATTTTCCCCATCTCCCTAACCGGGAAGTAAAAGGATTGAACACAGACAAAATTAGCCCAGAAAGCTCTGTCTTTGGCTAAAGTTTAAGGAAGATTGTGAGAGACACAAATGTTCTGCATTGCACTCATCTCTGAGAAAAAACACAAAGGCACCTAAACCACACTCTCCACTGAACTGAGAAAAGCACAGGGCCTCCCAGGAGCCCAGGCCCTGGTTCTACCCCACCTCAGACTGCATGGGGCAGGCCCAGTGCCCGCCTAGTGTCTCACCTGGGGGTGCTTCCAGACTGGTAGGCCATGGGCTGGAGCTCAGCCCCTCCACTGCCAAGTCTACGAGGTCCTGCAGGGCTTGGCGCTCCCTCTGGCTGGAGGACAGCAGTCGGTTATTGGGGCTGTGGCCCACAGGAGGCCTGCTGTGGGAAGCAGGGGGGCTTTGTGTGCTTGGCTCTCCCTGCTTGGGCAGCTCCAGCGTTAGCTCAGGTTCCTGAAAAAGGTTGAAGAGCTGGTGAGTGTGGTTACTGTCACAGACACATACTCTGCTGCTGCCACCCTGCCATGCACCCTAGGACAGGATGCAGGTTCCAAGGCTCTCTCAGGGCTGGCCATGGACTTTGCATTTTAAACAAGGAATGTGCCAAATCTGGGGAACCAAAGTCTTTCTCAGCAGAAGTGCTACTGAGAGAAATGAGGAAAGAAATAAATGCCTCCGTTGCCTCCTCCCTGTTCTGCTGATTGGACTTCTCATCCTGCCAAGCTAGCTGGCTGAATTTCTTGATTACACAAAGCCCATCCACACATGTGCTAGGAGGAGCAGGGCTCACCTTGATACGATGTTGGGACACAACTGGAGGAACCAGGCCCACTGTGTAGAAGGACCCCTCAGCCCAGGCTCCTGTGAGGGCACTGCATTCCCACAGAAAATTCTGCTTTCCTTCAGGCAGCTGCATTCGCCAGCCCGCATGTTCCAATTCTTCTTTTAAAATCTTGCTGGCCGGAAGCGGTGGGGTGCAGGACAGTTCTACTTCCTCTGAGAGGAGCTGGGCAACACGGTCCTCAATCTGTCTATTCGTGGTCTCAAAGTCTTGGATTAACAACAGTGGGGGACACACTGGGGGTTTCTTCTTGCGGCTTTTCTTCTCTGGAGATAAAAAGAAGTGACTCAGTCAGAGGCGTTTCTGAGCACTTACCCTAGAGCAGCTGGGATAACTCTCAGCCACTGGACACAGCTCTCCCCGGCCTCTGCAATGTACCTGCTCCCAGCCTCATCTTCTCGGAAAAAGCATTTTCCAGCCTGAGTTGGGGCACACCTGGACACTGCTCCATCTCAGAACGAGAAAGAGCCATGGCCACCAGCAGGTCTTCAGACGGAACCTCGGGCCGGCTGACCTTCCCCCTCTTCTGTGGCTCCTTCTTGTTGGTGGCTCCTTTCCATTTCAAACCTCCAACACGATTGCTGAAACTAAAAGGCGGCCACAGAGAAAGGTGAGCGGGTGGCTCTGATTCTGGGCCTGTCCTATCATACAGGAAACAGGAGCGATACATATGTTGCAATGAGCCAACAACGACTTGCATTTTTTGTGCTGCCTGTATTCCTTGTGGGCTCATTCCGTTCAAACCTAGAAATTCAGCACAGTGCAGACAACAGAGCGCCTGGGCTCCTTCCTGGACACCAGTGGTCCCTGCACACCTAGATGTAGCCAAACCTAAGAGTCTATAACTTCAAGTAAGCTCTCTGTGGCCAATGAGGTCTGCCCGGAAACTTCAGATGTCCCCAAAGCACCCTCTCCTTTCTTCAGGAGGCCACAGCAGCACCTCTATCTAAGACCCCAAAGACAAGGCCTCCCAGTTTCTGCTGCCACAAATCAGCTGCCCTAAGCTGCCCTGCCTCTGCCTTATAGAAGACTTATGTGATGGTCTCTCTGGCTAGAAAGAAAATCCTTTTTTTTTTTTTTTTTTTAGTGAGCCCCAGCAGCTGGGCAAGCAGGGGTTGTAATAGGAAGCAACTCTGAGAGCCTGCCCTGCAGCTCTTGTCCCAACTAGGCTTTTGCAGAAGTTCATGCTCTCTCCTACACAGGGGAAGCTGGAGACTCTTTGAAGATGTAAACAGTCCCTAACCAAGCAAACTGTAAGCAAGAGGGAGGGAGCCAGCCATTAGCCAGGATTTGCTTGAAAAGCAAAGATGCTGCTGTACGCTGTGCCATAGGCAGGGCTTGGGCAAAATCAAGCAAGGAGTGCGGAGGGCTAGAAGATACTCAGATCAGCCTGTGTGCTGCAATACTGAGTATTCCGAAGTCCAAGCACCAAGGTCTGGTCTTCGTAGAGGAACATTCAAAGCCCACTTAGAGAAGATTTAAAGTCCCTTGAGGATGTTCAATTTCTATTAAGTGTCTACTCACCAGCCTTCTAGAAGGACCCATGTACATCTAGTTTCACCATTTGGAGGTATTTTAAGTGTTTAATCTGCGAGACAAGCAACGCCTTAGACATGCTAAGGCTTCGAGGCTTCCTGCCCTGTAGCAATAGTATGATGTACAAGGTGGCGTGAAGAACCTCCTCTGCCCTTCGTGACCTCAGCAGCAGCTGATAACCCACATACAAGGCAGGGAGCAGGATAAACGGCTTCCCACAGGAGTTGGGTGCCCATGCTACCCTTGTTCCCTGTCAAGCTGGGGTCAACTGAGATGTTCTCGGCTCAGGGACAGTGAGTGGAGCTGACCCTCTGCTGCCCGCATGCCTGGAGTCTGCATGCTGAGGACCGCTTCCCAGCTCTTAGGGGGACCACCTATTTTAACACATAAGCATGAATTTGTGCCGTTAAAAAAAAATACGTTCTTAGGGGAGAAAGCGGGGGTAAATATGAACAAAAAATTGTATGGGATTCTCACAGAATAATATATAGCCCTATAGTCTGCCCAGTCAACTCTTTGGACTGTGCTGAATAATTTGACATTAATAGCATGAAAATGAAGCTACACTAGGTCAGAAATATTCTGCACAGCCAAGACATCAAGTGAAGCAGATACTAAACTCCCGGCTGCACTAGAGAGCTCACTGCAGGGTTAAGGGACTGGCAACATCACAGAAAGGACCTCAAGGAAGCAGCAGCCATTCTCTGCATGGAGGGCCCAAACATGCTCCTAAATCCTTTTCGACTGTGTCCAATCTCCTCAAACGTCTCATGACAGAATTCAAGAGATAGCTAGTTCTCTCCAACACTAGAAAAAGCTTTTAAAAACAAGTGTAACTGGAGTGCAAATACCATTATTTGGCTGTCTTCATTTGTCTTACCCGGGTACCTGAGGGCTGCTGCCCACGTCGGGCTGAGCTGTCTGCAGCCTTACAGCCTGAAGCAGGAGCTGGGGAGCCACTTCCATCTTCACTGCACACTGCTTCAAGTGACTGATTCTGCTCTTGCTGGTGAGGAATGGTTTCCCACATATTGGGCAATCAGGGATCCGAGATGGAGCAGGGCTCAGTGCCTTTTCAGCCTCATCCAAGCATCTGCAGGACGTCAGCAAACACAGGGCCACCCTCTCAGGTAACAAGGGTTATAGCAAATGCTTGACCCACATTGACATGTCAATGTGCTCCCCAAAAGCTGATGCCCTCACGCCACCTGCATGTCCCCTGGCAGTCAGCCTCAGACACTAATGTTAGGTTTGTGTTAGCAAAGGCGGTTAAAGAAATCAAGGCTAGATCAACACAGAGTCACGTTATAATCCAGCAATCCACGCCCAAGTATAAACCCCAAAGAAATGAAAACAAGTGTTCAAACATGAAGCTCATGTTCACAGCAGCTCGACTACGAAATCCACATGGTGGAAGCCAAGTGTCTGGCCACGGAGGAAAGAGTACATACGTGTTCTACCCAGACGATGGGTTATTATTGTGGCCATTAGAGAGCAGGGTTGGGGGTTGACACGCTGACACACAGCACACAGATGAGCTCTGAAAACACGGTTAAGTGGAGGACGGACATGAGCACAAATGTTGTGTGACTGCCCATATGCGAATGCAAGCCGGAGACAGACAGATGGGAAGCGGTTGTCAGCAGACTGAGGAAGGGGCAAGAGACAGGCACTTCCAAGGGCAAAGACGTTTCCTTTGGAGGGGATGAAAGTAACCCAGAACTGAGGTGCTGGCATGTGCACAAGAGCCGAGGACGTGGGCCCTGTAAGCGGATGAACTGCATCGTGAGGGCTCTGCCTCAGCGGGCTGTTCAGAAAGGGGGTGTGTTAATGGCACTGAGGAGCTGCCCCCACACAAGGCACCGAGCGTCCCACTGCGGCTAGCAGGTATGTGGTCAGGTAAGGGGACTGGCCTGGCTGCTCCTACCTGTTCACATGTTGCTCCCTCCGCGGCACGGTCATTGCCGAGAGGTTCTTCTGACACATTTGGCAGAAGAACAGCCCCTTCTCCTCCAGGCTGTCACAACGTGAAGATACTTCTGCCCTTCCGAACTCCTGCTGCAAGGCCAGGGCCATGGCAGCATCGCTGTCTGTGGCATGGAGCTTGGACTTATTCTCTGTGGAGAGGCATCCAAGAGCCGTGAGAACAGACAGCCACCATGACCTTTTACCTCTCTGCCTTGTCTATAGCTCTTTCATCATGGACACTAGGAAGAGCACAAAGAAACTAAAACCTAGCAGCGCTGTGCAAGCCTGTTTACAGGCACTGCCTAGACAGCATGGCCCTGGGCGGGGGGGACTCTGAGGACAGGTCTTTCTACAGTTCAGTGTGCATACACATTTCCTGGAACACTCGTTCAAATGCAGGATTTGGGGAGTCCAGCTTATGACTCTACATGTCTAGCAGCTTCACCTTTTTCTTTTTTTTCCCTTTCTTTCTTTTTAGATTTATTATTTGTACAGTATTCTGTCTGCATTTATGCCTACATGCCAGAAGAGGGCACCAGATTTCATCATAGATAGTTATGAGACACCATTTGGTTGCTGGGAATTGAACTCAGGACCTTTGGAAGAACAATCAGTGTTCTTAACCTCTAAGGCATCTTGGAGATGCCCCAGCTTTGCCTTTTCTAATGCCGACCTCCTACTGAGTGTAACAAAAGGATCAGGACACTGTGAACTGCCTTTGGCAATCAAGAGTCCCCTTTTTAGCATCAGTCCAAAGGATAGAGTGATTCTGACCTGAAGAGAGTTCAAAAGGTGGCCCGTGTGATGCCTCTAAACAGACCCCTGAACTCAGAAAGAATATGCCCGGGGGACTTGACAGCTCCCCAAGTTGGTGAATATCACTTTAGCATACAATTCTTGTCACGAGCTAAAACAAAAACAAAACAAAACAACAAACAAAACAGCACAGCATAGCACAGCACAACTTCATTTTGGTGACTTATTTCTGTTGTGGTATTAGAGATCACACCCAGGACTTGATGTGTGATAGAGTGTGCAACTGAGCCACAGCTCCTGCTCTTCCTAAGCAGAGATGGTGTGAAGTGCATCATAAGTGCCAGAAGGACTGACGACTCAGCAAGATATCCCATCCTTGCAGCTGAGATTCCTGGGGGCTCTCAAAGTGAAGACAGCCAGCGCAGGACCCAGAGACACCATTAGTAATTAGCTATGGAACCCCACTATTGTTTCTTTCTATTCCTTTAAAGTGAGTGCACATGCATGTGTGTGTGTGTGTGTGTGTGTGTGTGTGTGTGTGTGTGTGTGTTCATGTAGGCCACAGGTTGGTATCATCTTCATTGATCACTCTTCATTTAACTGACTGGGGCAGGGTTTCTTCTGAATCCGGAGCTTGTCAGTTTGGCTAGTTTGGCTATTCGGTGTGCCCAGGGCCTTCGTGCAACGGTCTCCCCAGCCCTGGGATGACAGGTGGGCTCTCTATACCTGCTCAGCTTTGATGTGGGTCCCGAGGATTCAACTCCAGTCCTCACAGTGTGTGGCAACCTCTTTATCCAGTGAGCCTTTCCCTAAAACTCCCTTCTTTTGCTTCTGTACATACTTATCAGAGATGAAGATCCACGTTGCTTATAGGCTCACCTGACATGAGCTTCTAGCAATACAAAGTTCATAGCCCCTTTTAAGAGTGGTTGCCACGCTGTTTATCCCAGAGCTGCTCAGACCTGATTTACTTACAGTGCACCTATAATACAAGGCACAGGGGAAAGACGAAATGATGCCATAAACAAATAACCAAGCAAATCCAGAATGTGGCACGTTAGAAGCCAATTAATTAGTGTGGACTTTTCAAAAGTTACTGTAAAAAGAAAACTGGGAGCTGTTCTATAGTCTAACCTAAAGAGTCTTTGCAGAGCTGAGTATGATGGCTCAAGCTTGTAATACCAGTCGTGGGAGTGAGAGTTAGAGGCAGAAGGATTAACCGTGAGTTCAAGGGCAGCTTGGTCTATACACTGAATTGTAAGCTACAAAGCAAGATCCTATCTGGGGTCCCCACCCCCCAAAAAAGATCACTGGAGCTAAAGCAATACACAGCATGTGAACTTTGCTCAGGAAAAAAGCAGGCTCCAAAGGTTAGCGTGGGCCACTGGAGAACTGCTATAATGTCAGGTATGAGAGAACTGTCAATGTCTCTCCCTCACTTTCAGACAATAGCGAAGAAAAATACACATCCGTGTAGGCACACAAAATGCACAAGCAGGAGCATTTGGAACCATTTTAGGTCTAGTCTGCTCTCTAATTCTAGAATCATAAACAAAGCTACTTTGTTTATGAAAGCTACTTTGTGTATGAAAGACTAGGCACAGAAAGTGTGTGTGTGGCTAGCTGTCAGCGTCTGTTAAATCCAGGTAGAGGGCACAAAGCAGCTTCAACGTGTGGGCCTTGATCCCTTTGGGGGTCGCATGTCAGATATTTACATTACAATTCATAACAATAGCAAAATTACAGTTATGAAGTAGCAACAGATAATTTCATGGTTGGGGGTCACCACAGCATGAGGAACTGTATTAAAGGGCTGCAGCATAGGAAGGTTGAGAAGCACTGACATAAAGATTTCTTGTATGTTTTTGTCATGTTGTTGGTGTATATGTGTATTGTTTTGGTTTTTGGTGTGTATGTGTTGTGTGTGTGTTGTTTTGGTTTTTGGTGTGTATGTGTTGTGTGTGTGTTGTTTTGGTTTTGGTGTGTATGTGTTGTGTATTTTTGATTTTTGGTGTGTATGTTGTATGTGTGTTGTTTTGGTTTTTGGTGTGTATGTGTTGTGTGTGTGTTGTTTTGGTTTTTGGTGTGTATGTGTGTTGCACACACGTGCGCACCGCCATGGCTCGAGTCCTCATACTTGCACAGAAAACACTTTACACACCTAGCTATTTCCTTACTGCAGTTTAAAAACCAAACACAGAAACAAACTTTCTGTGAAGAGTAATTTCATAAGTGGGGAGGGGGAGCAGCAGACACGGTCAGGAGCCCAGCAGAAGAGCAGCTAAAGAGCTGGCTCTGCAGTCAGGAGCGGGGAGCTCTCGCAGAGACAGAGCTCGGTGCCCAGCACTCGTGTCACATAGCTCACAACTGTCGGCAACGCTAGCTCCAGGGACCCAATACATTCTTCCAGCCTCCACAGGCACCCATGGACACAGCCCCACACAGACACATACGTACACATAATTAAAATAATAAACCGTTCTTATGGGACATTTTGGTCTTTGGCCAGCTCCCGTGTGGTGGCGAGATAAGGTCAGAAAAAGCTCTGTAAGGAAATGAACAGGACGCCTTCCACTGTTTCTTACACAATGCAACTCAGCTTAGAAAGTAGAACATGCTCACCATACCGTTTCCCACCACCACCTCTTCTTGAGGGCTCCTTGGGACATTTTCTTCCAGTGTGGTCTTTAGGGAGGGTTCTTCTGAAGCATGTCTCAAGCGCTCAGGGTCTGCCCTCTTGAACTGCTTCATCCGTTGGAGAACCAGCTCTGAGGCTCTGGGTTTGGAGGGACTTGGCACACCAGTTGTAGTGAAACAGGATGGAAGGGGCTGGGAGTCGCCATTGGGAGCACTCTCTGGCAAGGAGGAAAAGATTCACAGCATTTGTTCTATAGACTAAAATCCAAAACGTCCTTCACCAGTCAGTTCAGGTTTGACCTGACTTGAGTGAATAGGGTGTTCATTCACTCACTGTGCCAATGGACACATGTCAATTGCAGGACACTGGGTTCAGTGATTGCTGATGAACTTGGGAGTCTTTGGGGGGGTGATGAAAATGTTCCCAAGTGAGGTAGTAGTGGTGGCGGTTGCACAACTCTGAATGTGCTAGAAGCACTAAACTGTATACTTTATGCATGTGCAAATCACAGAGCTTTCAGCAGCTGCACGAAGGGAGCATGAATGCCCAGAGCACCTGGGCAGCACTGCAGAGTCCTTCTGCCATCTCCAGGGGCTCCACTGTGCCATCATTCGGGACACACTCTGGACCCAAGCTAGGAAAAATGTCCTCTTTGATAAAGAAGAGGTGAGAAGCTAGGAACAGAAACTGGGAGCGCAGAGGGCATCTTACACTCAAGGCTGGTTTTCAGTTCTGTGTGAAGAGGGTATGGCAAGCATATGGCTGAGGATGCCAAGGGCAGGGAACCTGAACCCTCTGAAAGCCTCTTCAGCCTAACCAAACTGGCTTGCCCATTCCAGTTATACCTACCTTAGGCACCAGTATTTTTTTGCTGATGTGCCTATTGTCAGCTTCATGAACAGTCAGACAACACCCAGGGCACAGAAAACTCACAGAGAAACACTCAGAGGACTGGGCAAACTACGGTCCTAGGGCTAGGTGTATTTTTGTAAATTCAGTTTTATCGGCACCCATGCATTTCCACATCATCTAAGGCTGATTTCTCTCTACAGCAGCCATTAGAAACATCTGACCCTCTGTATCTAGGAAAGATCAGTTCCAGGATCCCCTGAAAATTTCAAAACCTGCAGATGGTTTCCCAGTACCTTCTACACAGTGTACTATCTACATTTAACCTGTATACACCCAGTGTGCTTTAATTCAGCTATAAAGTAAACACTATATAAAGAGTTGCTACACCACATTGTTAGGGAATAAAACAAAAAAAATAGTCTGGATATATTAAGTATAGACTATTTCTTCTCTTAAATGTTTACCATCAGACAGAGCCTTAGAATCCCACAGATACAGAGAGTCAGTTGTAGCTGCAACACAAACTATATGATCTGTAAAAACCAAGTATTTTACTCTCTGACTCTCTGGCTTTTTGTTTGTTTATTTGTTTGTTTTTGTTTTTGTTTTCTTGAGACAGGATCTCTCTATATATAGCCATGGCAGTCCCAGAATTCAGCATGTAGACCAGGCTGGTCTCAAGCTGACAGATACCTGCCTGAGCTTCTCTAGAGCTAGGATTAAAGGTGTATACCACCACACCCAGCTATCTGGCCTTTTACAGCAAGTTTTCTGAGCCCTGGTTCACAACAACACACATCACTTTGGGTCCGTTGTGGGAATCAGATCTGGCAATAGGTCCTGCCTGGTTACCTGTCTGAACGCTGTGTGCTCTCTCATGCAACACAGGCTGACCTGGGGCAGGAGCAAGAACACCTCTCTTTCCATTCACAGGGAGAGCAGGGTCCCCTTCTTGGGGTTTGGGTGCCCCTTGCTTTTTAGTCCTAGGGGCCTGGCTGCCTACTCGAGGTTTCTTCTCTGGAGGGCCTTCAAGGGTTTTGATCCTGGTGGCAGCTTGACTGGATTCTTTCAGCTTGCCTCTTTTCTGAGGGTTACCAGAGGCCTTCCGCTTCTTCCTGTCTCCTGACACATCTTTGGTTGCATTTTTTTTCACCCTTTGGAAAAAGCAGGCACAGAGTTCTTTGAAATCATCATCTGACTCATCCATCATTTGACCTGTTTTAAGTTTTTCAGGTTTGTCTTTAGGGGAGTGAGGGCCGATCTGGAAACATGTCCACAGATGAGAAAGTTGTGTGTAAGCCGCTTCGGCCTTATCACACTTCTGCCTCACTAGGGCTTTTCTTCTCTCTGATTTACTTGGAGACTTTGCACAACTGTAAACACAGTACTGTTCTCCTCTCCGTAAGCATTTAAATATCTTTCTTCAATTTGGACCTGTAGTTAAACAACTTGTTTAAAAACTTCCCTCTGTTAATGCTCACAAGTCCGACAGCTGCCTCTGAGATAGAACATGTCAACTCTGTGACCAGGTGATTCTCCAGGATCTCCACAGTGAGAAAGGGCATGCATTCATCTAATTTTGCATCTGTGGAAAACCAAAAGCATCTAAGTATAATTAGACAGCTATTGCTATTTTATGTACTTTCTTCCAGGAAGGTACAAGAGCATGTAGGGTGTGGGTAAAGCTTCCAAATACAGTCTGGTTAGATGCATAACTGTCCCACAGTATGTCTCTCTCTCACACACAATAACTCACGCATACACGCAGTCTGCCAATGCATATTCTCCAGGGGGAAAAAAAGTATATAGCTTGGAAGCATGTTTTTACTGAAACTAGAGAAAAACATGACGGCTGGCTGCTATTTAAATACATGTTCCCCAAATACAGGGAGCTTATCTCCCTCAGTGCCCTTAGCAGCCCAGCTATCGCTTTATCAAATACTGCAAAATGAATGAAGTGATAAAGGCTGTGTCCTTGTACACCCAGGAGAGAAAAAAGGCCACTTTTCTACCCTTAGTCCACAGAGCTCTCTAAACTACCTGCAGGCAAAGGCTGGGCCTTATGGGTTTCCTAGGGCACACAGTGTATTGAGGTTCAAAGTGAAAACTGAACAATCTGGGTCTGAGGAGACAGCTGAGCGGGTGAGACTGCTCAGTGAAGAACCATAGGGACCTGAGTATAGATATCCAGCACCCATGTTAAAAAAAAAAAAAAAAAAAAAAAGCCAGGCGTGGCAGCGCTCACTTGTGACCCCAGTGCTTTGGAGAGGGGAAGGGAGACAGAGACAAGAAGGACTGCTGAAACTTGATGGTTAGTCAACCAACTTGAAAATTTGCAAGCTCCAGTTTTCAGTGAGAGACCCTGTCTCTAAGGGATAAGGCCAAAGTTGTTAGAGCAGTATACCCAACATGGGCATGAACACACACACACATCCCTCTGAATAACCCAACTGCAGAAATCTACTCATCTGAAATACAGTCTTAGAGAAGTTTCACCTACCCCTTCACCGGGGCCTCTCATTCCATGTTATCACACATGGCCGACACAGTGACATCTACCACAGCTTATAATCATTTGCAGTGTAACATTTACTGAATGCTTGTGTTCCCGACACTGTGCCAATTGCTTTTCAAATCTTTAACTCATTTAATCCTTATAACCATCTTAAGTGACACAATCTCCTGCCATCCTTTCTTTGGAGTGGGGAATCAGGCACACAGTGTGAGGAACAGTTCTGAAGCAGCGGGGCAGAGGTTCTAGGGACTGTGGTTCCAGGGTATCAGATCCCGCGTTTTTATTCACTGAATTATCTGTTAATGAAGTTCAGCATATCAGGTTAGGTATACATTTATTTACTTCGTTTTTTTCTTTGGCTTATCTGGTACCCAACTTGTAATAAATGCTAAGCGACTATTTGTTGAATTCAAGAACTTCAAAAGAGTTTGACACAGTGGGAATGAAGAGAAATGGTAGAAGGGAGAGGCTTGCGGGAAAGAGAGGTCAGTTTACAAGGGCCTGGAACATCAGACAAAAGCAAACTGAATTTTGTCGCGCGAGCTGTGTAAATCTCACAGTTCATTAGTGCTGAGTCCCCACATTTGACAATGGAGTCGTAAGACTGTCCCCCTCCGGTAGGTGCTCCACGAATATCTGCTAGACGACATAACGGATTCCACCAGGCTGCAAGCTTCCAGGGGGCTGGGGACCCCTGCCCACTCGGCGTCCTAGCTGCCTGCCAGCCTCGAGCCGGCGTGGAGGGAATGAATGATCTGGGCGGGGCGGGCCTTCTCTGCTTACCCCTACAGGTGACCCACGGAAGGGGACTGGGGCCTGCCTGGGGAAACGTCCTAAAGCCAGACAGAAGGTTCGGATCGCTGGGCTGTCCGGGGGCTGTGGCGTGTCCCCACCTCCCTCCGGGCAGGCGCCGACCCTGTCTGCCAAGCGCAGCTCGCGCCACTCGACCGCGGGCCGGTCGAGATCGAGGGGTCGCCGGCCGAGGCCGACAAACAGACGCCGTCCGGCCTCGCAGGAGACGGGACACCGCGGGAAGTGACAGCCCCCAGCACCACCACCCCGCCCCGGTCACTCCAGCCCGATGCCGAGCTCCTCCTACCTCCCGCACCGCGACCGCACCTTCTCAACGGAGAGCCGCGGAGCTGCGCCTGCGCCCTGAGGCGGTGAGCGGCGAATGTTGAGTGCGCAGGCGCAGAGTCTGCGCGTGCGCAAACCTGTGTCTGCGGTCCGAGTGTGAGAAGGGGCCGAGGGTCGTTTTTCGGTCTTCCACTGCGGCTGCCCGCGTTTCCGGGCAGCTTGAGGCGGCGCGAGCTGGAAGTGGGGTTTTGCTGGCTGCGCGCTGGTAGAGTGCGCTGCCCGAGTTCTGTTAAATGCCGGGAAGCCTCGAGTTGAGGGTAGTAATTGTCCCGTTTCAAAAACGGCGGTAGCCGGGGCCATGGCCCAGCGGTCAGAGGTCCTGTGTTCAATTCCCAGCAGCAAGGTGGTGGCTCACAATCATCTATAACTCTAGTCCCAGGGGATCCGAGGCCATTCTATTACACAGAGAAACACTGTTTAATAAATAAATAAATAAACAAACAAATAAATAAATAAATAAGGAAAGTAAATAAGTAAATAAGAAAAGTAATCCCACTCACAATAGCCTCAGAAATAAAACGCCTAGGAATAAATCGACTAACTAAACACCCACTGTGTGACCCTGGCTGTCCTGGACTCCCTCTCTAAACCAGGCTGGCCTCGAACTCACAAAGATCTGCCTGACCTCTGCCTCCCCAAGTGCTGGGATTAGAGGCGTGCACCACTGAGTCCAGTTTAAGTTCTTCCTATTAATTTCTGCAATGTTGGAGTCCTCAGAAAGCCCTTGTCTATTCCCGTATCTTGAATCTTGAAGTAGTCTTCTTCTTCTTCTTCTTCTTCTTCTTCTTCTTCTTCTTCTTCTTC